TTTTTTTTTTTTTCATTGTTCCTAATCGCTTGTAATGGTTAGAACAAGGCCTTCAGATTTAAAAATCTCGACGATGGATCACGAGGCGGGCTTTGTTCGAGGAGGCGGTAATTGGCGGCTTGAGGCTGCACCACCACTCGCGGCTTTGTTCTAGGCGGAGGCTTGCACCACTCGCCTTTTTTCTAATCGCTTGTAGGCGGAGGCAGGGTTGCGCCTTTTTTGTTTTAGGCCTCTAAACAGACGAACAAAATCCAAATAGAGCCTTCCCCGCGGCCACTGTAGTGCTCAAGTTGTAACTCATAACTTTGAAGCTCATCTCCACGCACCAAGCTCTGGTAAGGAAGAATAGATTTCAATCCTTGTGTGTCTGTTGTGTAAATTGATTTTAGTTTAACGAACAATTAATTATGAAATTAATTGAACTATGTTGGTAAATTTGATTTTTTTTTCATATTTTTTATTGAAGTTGTGCAGCCGAAAATGGGGACTGGAATTGATTTTTCCCATATTATATTTTGGGAAACTCATAGTTGAATTGTTTGTAAATTTATCAAATTATTTATCAGCGTATGTTAAAGATGTGGTTTGAATTATAGCTTTTGCGAAAGTACATGTCGAAATTTAGTTTTCAAATGCTGAAGGATATTGATTTGTCTTATTTTATATACTTACTTGCCGCAATTGATTTGTACTGTCCTGATATGTTCTCGGCTTCTCGCACTATGAAGCTTTGTCACTCAAGTTAAAAATGTGGCTTTAAATTTGTGGTTAAGCAAAGATTCTTTTTTATGAACTTATAATTTAGAAATATATATGAGAGTTAGTATTTTTCTGGGAAATGGTTTTGTATATACAAATTTTTGAGTGACTTTATAAATACTAATCAACAGATAATATTTTATTATTTATATATAGTTATTTTTATGTTGCTTAACAAATGTTTATGTTGTTGTTTTATTGTTGTTTGATAAATGTTTTGTTGTTTTATTGTTACTTTTGATGTTTTCATAATATATATTATTAATTTTTTAAGTTTCAATAACAAATATTTCTATCACTTTTTAGTTAATTTAATTATATTGATCAATCTTTTTTGTTGTTGTTGTTTTTATTCCCAGGGGTTGAAGATTGAAGAAGAAATTGAAAAATAAGTCGGAGAAGAAGAAAGAAGAAAAAACGTGAAAAGAAAAATAGAGAGAGAAGGAATAAAGAGAATAAAATACGGAAGAGAGAGAAAACAGTTATTGATTTTAAATTTTAAATTAATTGTTTTGTTTGTAACTTCCTTTTGAGACAATTTTGGAATTCAATATGTTGTGCTGTTTTAATGGAATTGCTTTTTATTAGGGGATTAATTATGTCTTTTAAGCCTCATAAATCTTCTCAGGTCCAGTCACCTTGTTGTCCAATGATGACTAATTATGCCTTTGATTATAGAATTGGCAAACAAGTGTAATTAGTATTGAGCAGTCATTTAAATTTCATTTATAGAATTGGCAGACAAGCAGTCATTTAAATTTCATATTGGCAATTATAACAGACAAGTCTTTGGTCAGCGGTTCAATCAATATTACAGGTTATTTTACTGATTTTAATATATATATATATATTAATTAAATTTACTTGTATAACATGAATAATATATAAAAAAAATTTTAATTAATGCTAAAATGGATTAAAATCAAATAAATATATAAAATTATGAAAAATAGGTGTAGAACTTTAAATTTTATGTAAGTGATTGATAAAAATATAAAAGTACCAATAAAAATTAAATAATCTTGTATTATTTGTAATTTAGCCTGTATTTTGGCCGATGTTTTCT